CTGAATGGCTCTGTCAGGGGCCCAAATGGCGCTGCAGGCCAAAGCCCTAATCATCCCCCTTCTCCAGGAGCGAATTCCTTGGAGTTAAGGGCTTCCCCGACAACATCCAAACACACACACACACACACACCGGCGCCACTTGTCACCCAGATCCCGCTCCAAGGAACGCAGCGGGGCCTCGCGGCAGTGGATAGCCAACAGCTCGGGAGATGTGACGCACAAGGGGATTTCCCATCCTCTGTCATCTCTGATGGCGCAATAGTTAGGCACATGCCATCCCAACCTGACTAGAGTAAGACGCAGAGCAGACAAAGGGCAAGCCACCGAGGCCCAAGTAAAACGAAGCGAATCACACACCGCGGACCAAGCCAGGCGAAGAGTCCTGCGGGGGAGAGAGCCTTAACCAGTCCGTGCCAGCCAAACTTCTCTGCCCCACCTCATTGTCGGGGCGGTGGCCGCCCCCCAGGTGGGGTCTAAAGATAGCGTGCGGCAGGCAGGTGAACTCCGAGACTGGGCGAAAGGTCGAACCCGCGAAAGAGCCTCTCTACGCATCTCGAGTGAATCCTGATCGGAGGTGCCCGGGATTTCGGCCCCACAGGACCCCCCAGCCAGCGGCCCAGCGGCAAAGATCCGAAGGCCCCTACGACCAAGAGCGCCCGCCAACCTTTTCTGACCCCTGCTGCGACGACACAATTGGGCGATCCTGGCCTTCAGCTTCGAGCGCCTGCCGGCAGCCCCCGCGGACTCCCCGGCAGCAAAGCCGACGCCTGGGTTGTTGGTGGTGGTGGAGTCCTCCGCACTGCCAGCCAAGGCGGCAAGCTGAGCGGACACCCCAGTCGCCGCCGCTTTGCTGGAAGCCGCCGTGCAGACCTTGTCAAGTGCCGCGCCACAGCCAAGCAGTTCGGTGATAGCACGGCGCAGGGCTTTCGTTCCAGCCACAACGCTTTAAAAATGGCGACTCGCTTGGGCCCGGGGCTCGACAGCCCAGAACCATCAATATAGATGTGAAGGTCCATGCGAGGCGACAGCACAATGGTGTCGAACGCGTCGAACGCAAGAAACGAGGATGAGGGCGGCGGCCACGCCGCAGCCAGTCATCACCCCTCTCTCGACAAAATACGGCCCCGCAAGGATGCCGCCCAAGGGCAAGAATCGGCCACGCCGAAAAGCAGATATGCAAAGGCGAGCGATGGGCATCGGAAGTCCATGCTTGTGGCATTGCCCCTCGGGGACGGAACGATCGATAGTTTCGTCGTACTTGAGCAAGCATATCATAAGAATGGCGATGTAAAAAACACGACAGCTGACATCCTTCGTGGCCGCCCCGTGTTCGGCCTCGACACTTTGACGCCGCGCAGCATCCGGGGCCCCCCAGTGCGCCCCATCAGCCCAGTGCCGACGGCAAGGCAAGGCGAGAAGCCGTGCATCCATGAAGGACGCGTGGGCAGAAATAGCAGCTGCAAAGTTGCCGCGGCCGCAGGGGGCGCTTCCAGGGGGGGGGGGAGGTGGAGGAGGCAAAATGCTTGAACCAACCTTGCTCCATCAACCTTTCGCAGCCACAGAGAGTCCAAGGAGTCGAGTCCAGTGCCGACGGGGGTGCTCAGTCTCCCCAGAGCAGCGCGAGGGGGCGACGGCGCTCGCCCCAGACTCCGTGCCAGGCGCAAGAACGCCTATCGGCCTGTAGCACAGCAGCGCTAACATTAAGTCGGGCCTGTCCCCCTTACAGGGGGATTTTCGACGAAAAATGAAAAACAATACCCCCAACATACTCCAAAAATAATCCAAAAATAATCTAGGGGCTATTTTTTGAGTATCGTTTGACCTTCTTGGGGCACTTTTTTAGTATTTCTTATTGTTCGTCGAAAATCCCCCTGAGGGGGGACGCGCCCGACTTGACGCTACAAGAACAATCGAGATCTGCTCTGGAAGGTGACAGGGGGCTTCCATGACCTCCCAAAACCATGGCTAAGGTGTCCAAGGCAGGGTCACACAAATACTGGAAGTGGCGACAGTTGAAGCGATCGTAGCTGACCGCCGAGCCTTTTTGCATTTCCCGGCCACCTTCCTGACGGCTTCCGCGGACAGGCGGGGCAAGGGTTCCGTCAACGTCGGACCCGACGAACAGAGAGCACCACTGCCTTCGCCCCAAAAGGCAGAGAATTTGAAACCTTCAGCGGATAGAAGGGACGAAGGGTCCGACGCGATCGATCCGTCGGCGGCTAATGTGGCGGTGGGACGCCAGGGGGTCGGGTTTCCAGTGGCTACATGCACCCCCTCTGGTCCCCTCATCGATCCCCTCGCGAACCCAGGCCTGCCAACTCTTGCGCGACTTCTTACTCGCAGCCTTGCTGGCGATATCCACAGCTGCATCCAACTTGTCGCGCAGCGCCTGCCCCAGAGATCTCCGGGGCACATTCTCTGCGCGAGCGAAGCCAGCAGCGTCCTCAGAAGGAGGGCGCAGTCCATCCGACGCACCAACTGTTGCCGGTGGCGTACACAAAGCAGAGAAACTTCTGAGCCTGATCTCCCCGGCGAAGGTTCGCGGCGCGTATAGCAGCCGAGGCGCGGATTTGGGGGCGAAGCCACCGCGCCGCATGGTGATCAGGGTCATGACTATGGAAGTCCCTGCCCCCTCCTCCTCCCCCTGCCCCTCCTCCTCCTCCTCCTCCTCCTCCTCCTCCTCCTCCTCCTCCTCCTCCTCCTCCTCCTCCTCCTCCGCCCAAGAGCTTCTTCCACACGCGTTGGGGGCCCCTCGGAGCGCGCGCCCAGGCCAAGGGGGGATCTCGCTCCGCGCGGCGGCGCATGCCGCCACCTCGGCCTTTTGTCGGCCCAAGCAGCAATAGCAAGGCCTCCCTCCTCCTCCTCCCTCCTCCTCCCTCCCCTCCCTCCCTCCTCCCTCCTCCCTCCTCCTCCTCCTCCTCCTCCTCCTCCTCCTCCTCCTCCTCCTCCTCCTCCTCCTCCTCCTCCTCCTCCTCCTCCCCCGACGCACTGCGTGGCCTGCTCGGCCAGCGCACGAGGGCGTGGCCAATCGGGAGGCGCGGGGGCTGGGCCGAACACCGCGGACGCAGGCATGGGGGGGGGGGGGCGGCTTCCGAAAACTCATGCCTCATGCCTTGGAGCCGAGCGAGAGACGGAGACCGCCTGGACAGGCCTAAATATGAGGGTTCAGGATGGTGTGGCGCATCACTTCGCACGACTTCACAGCTTTCCCCCGCCCCCCCCCCCCGAACAAGACGACATGCTCTAAAGTTGCTGGGGAGTCCCTCCAAAATGAGCGCGCCCATCAGGGGTGACATGCGCGCCGAGAAGCTTCTCGACGAACGAACGCTAACCGAGAACCTTGGGCGACATGCTAAAGTCGGCACCGATACAGAAGGGAAGAGAGGAGGAGGAGCAGCTGTCACCGATCTTCGCCAAGAGATCCACATTCCTCTCCGATAATCCTTCCGAGTGATAAGATAGGCAGGACAGGCGAGAACGCGAATCCCACGAGGGAAGCGGATGACACCTGAGACCGCGCGTCCAGCTTCAACCTCCGACCCTCCAGGGGGCTCATAAAGGCCAAGGACATCCCTGGCCAAGATGTGCGCGCCCGAAGAAGTGGAGCCAGCCTCCGTGCCCAAAGCTCCGGTCCAAAGGCTCTCCCAAAACCCTCCTAGCAGGCCAGGCCGAGGCCAGGTCGACTTCTTCTTTCGAACCAAACCTTCGCCCATGGCAAGGAATGACACGGGCAGGGGCGTCCGCCGACAGCTTCTTCATGGCCGACCAACACTTTCAGTTGATCGCATGAATACAAAGCTCGAGCGAACCCAAATGCGCAACAGAGATGTCCCAGTGGGGGGGGGCCGACGTTGCTCGAGGCAGGGCCCCTGGGGCCAGAAATGCACTCGACGGGGCAGCAGGGCTCTAAGCTGACGCAGACGGGGCGCATCTGACTCGGAGACGCAAAACCTCCAAACATGGCCGGCACAGAAGGACTACTGCACGAGAGTTCCTGAACACCAGCTGCTCTCCAGAGGCAAACAGCCGACGTGCCCTCCAGAGCGAGCGCCTCACCACGCCACGCAGCGCGGCTATGCAACGCTCGAGGAACGAGAGGTGGCCGGCGCGGGGCGGGGTCCAGCGGGGCGGCCGAGAAGCCTGATCCGAGGAATTGCTGGCGAACCCAGGCGCCCGACAGCTGACATCAGAACGAGGAAAAAGTAAAAAGCCCTGACGAGATACACGACCCAGAAAAATTCGCCCCCTTTAGAGGCGCGCGCTGGCCTGCCAAGATCAGCGCCCTCCGCCTTCGGAGAGCGCAGAGAAGCAATGGCAGATGATCCTGGAAATGATGGCTACCCCCCTGCAGGTCGACTTGGGCAGGACTAGTTCCGTCGCTCCTGCAGGGGGCTCCGTTTGTCGAGACATGATCTCAGCAGCTCGTGCGCACTTTTTTGGTCGGCGGGGCGAGAGCGAACCTCTTCCGCTAAAAGCTAGGCGGGCTACGCACGGCTCTCTGATTAATGAGACAGGGCACAGGCGGGCGGGGCCTCAGGCGGCCGGAGAGGGCGGGGCCCGGGGTGCAGGCGGTGCCGAGGAGCAGCTCGTGCGCGCCCAGGGGGGCCTGGTGACTCTGGGGAGCCACCCTCGCCGGGTTCGCCGTGGGCCTCCCCTGCGGGCGCAGATGGCTGGCCCTCCGCCTGCCCCCTGGCCCCCTCGCCTCCACCAGCGGCCGCGGCTGTGGCAGCTCCGCCCTCCGGTGCGCCAGCCTCTTCACTTCCTCCAGCGCGGACCTTGCGTTTCCTGGTGGGCCGAGCGACACGATCTCGGTGAGCCTCCTTGATCTTCTCGGCCTCCTCAACCGCCCTGCTGAAGAGGGTGCTGGCAATATGTTGGATGCCTGCCTTGAGCTGTTCTCCCCGCTGCTCCAGCTCTCTCTGATCTGACTCGGAGAGCTCATAGTCTTCACTTCCTCCAGCGCGGACCTTGCGTTTCCTTGTGGGCCGAGCGACATGATCTCGGTGAGCCCCCTTGATCTCCGGGGCCTCCTCAGCCGCCTTGCTGAAGAGAGTGCTGGCAATATGCTTCATGCCTGCCGTGAGCTCTTCTCCCCACAGTTCCAGCTCTCTCTGATGTGACTCGGAGAGCTCATAGTCTTCGCAGGAGCCCAGTAGCTCAGCAGGGTCCATGATGAGAGCCTTCGTGAAGCTACCGTCCAGAATCGCAGCAAGAGGGACGGCAGGAGTGGCCTCTGGCTTGTTGGACGGGGGCTCGACCGACGTGTGCTGCGACTGCACCAACCGCCGATGTTCTTTCTCCGCCTCGTCGAACTCGTCCGCGAGTTTGGCGACTGGGGCCCGCGGCTGTACCATCTGCAAGTTCCATTCTTCAAGACGTGTACACGCCGCCGACAGCCGCTTCTCGATCTGGCGCATCTTGGGGTGCGCCATGGACACCTTGCGTTGCAGGGGCGGCCCCTAGGCGCCAGGGGTGGGCTCGGCCAGCTCGCATCGGCGGGCCGCGCCGACCCTGTCCCCTGACTTCCCAAGCAGAGCAGCAAGCCTCGAGTGCTCGTCGGCAGCAAATGGCCCTTGTCCTGCCGCCAGGGGCGCTGGGAACTCGCCGCACGAAGGCCCCCCCCCGTGCCGTTCCCGCCCATGCAGCGCCCAGGTGGTCCGAAGGGGGAACCACGAAGACCTGAGACGACCGGCGGAGCAGGACACCCCCAGACTCCACCGGGAGGCACGTGCCTGGCTGGCTGAAAAAAAGGGTGCCCAACTTGGCCCGCACTGCTTGCAGCACTGCCAGTTCCACTCGTTCTTCTTACACTTATGTTGGGCGTGTCCCCCTACGGGGGATGTTCGACGGAAAATTTGAAACATATCCCCAAATAATCAAAACAGAGTCTAAAAATAGTCTGGGGACTATTTTGGTGGTATTTTGTTTGCCTTCTTGGGGTATTCTTGGGGTATCTTCAATTTCTCGTCGAAAATCCCACAGGATGGACACGCCCAGCGGGCGGGAGCTCCTCCGTGACGAAGGGACGCACGAGCAGGACCCTTCTGCACCAGCACCGCCAGCAGCACCACCGCCCCGCAGCCGAGCGACATGGGGACTGGGCCCATGGGGGCCTCACGGCGCCTCCTCCTCCTCCTCCTCCTCCTCCTCCTCCATCCTCCTCCTCCTCCTCCTCCTCCTCCTCCTCCTCCTCCTCCTCCTCCTCCTCCTCCCCTCCCCCCCCCCCTCCCTCCTCCCTCCTCCTCCTCCTCCTCCCTCCTCCTCCTCCTCCTCCTCCTCCTCCTCCTCCTCCCTCCTCCTCCTCCTCCTCCTCCTCCTCCTCCTCCTCCTCCTCCTCCTCCTCCTCCCCTCCTCCTCCTCCTCCTCCTCCTCCTCTCCTCCTCCTCCTCCCTCCTCCTCCTCCTCCTCCTCCTCCCTCCTCCTCCTCCTCCTCTCCCTCCTCCTCCTCCTCCCTCCTCCTCCCTCCTCCTCCTCCCTCCTCCTCCTCCTCCTCCTCCTCCTCCTCCTCCTCCTCCTCGTCCTTCTACTGGGCCCACGGCGGCAGCGCCATGAGCGGTTCGTGGACCTGGGAGTTCAGCGCGACGGACCCTCACCGCAGACTTATGTCGAACGTGTCCCCCTACAGGGGGATTTTTCGACGAAAGGAGACGGGAGCGACGAGCGCGGACGGAAGAGGCGAGGCCCGACGTGGGGGAAGTGAGGTGCGACGGCCGCGGGGCAACAGCGAGGCGAGGAGCGAGGGTTAAGTCGGGCGTGTCCCCCTACAGGGGGATTTTCGACGAAAGATAAACAAATACCCCCAAAAAGCCCCAAACAGGTCAAACAATACTCAAAAAATAGTTCCCAGACGATGTTTTGACTGTTTTTGGTGTACGGTAGGGGTAAACAATTAGTGAACAGCCCCCCTGCCCCCCCCAAACTCAAGGTTGGCACGCGCGGGGGAGACTGCGGTCGAGGTGCAACTCATCAGACCCACCGCCAACTTTGAACATTGGGGGGAGGGGGAGGCGTTCACAGATGAATGTGGCCTGTGTTCGCTATGTTTTCCGAGGCCTGTATCTTTTATTTTTCGTCGAAGGTCCCCCTGTAGGGGGACAGGCCCGACTTACAGTTCAGCGCCACGGACCCTCACCGCAGACTTGGCTCGCAGGCACAGCGTGCCGCTCTGAACACAGTGCCCCTGCGACACTCCACGGCTGGAGCGCAGAGCGGCTCCTTGAGCCAAAACGGCATGAGCCGACATGGCCACGGAGCGGCACAGGGTGTGCCGGAGTGGGCATGCGGAGAGCAGAGGCAGGGATGGGAGGAGAGAGGAGAGGGGGGAGGGGGCAGCGGGAGGAGGAGAACGCTGGGCGCTGTCTCTTCAAGACGAGGACCCAACACCACAGGATGGTTGGGGCAAAACCTGAGTTGTGTGATCATCGAGTCTCCAGACTTCCATTCCTAGTGCTGATTTCGAGTGTCCAGGGCCAGCTGCAGGCCACTTCGTGCTCTTCGAGTTCCCAGAACTCAATTCCTGGACGAATGTTGCATTCCTGGGGCCAACTGTGAGCCACTTCGGGCTCTTCGTGCTCCCAGATCTTCACTCCTGGAATTGGTTTTGAATGTCCCGAGCCATATGTAGACACTTCGGGCTCTTCGTGCTGCCGGAACTTCTCTCATGGAACAGATTATGAAAATCCGGAGCCACCTGTAGGCCACTTCGGGCCCCTCGTGCTACCAGCATTCGATCCTGGGGCTGACTTTGCGTTCGCATCCTGGCGTCCCTGGCACCCTCGCATCACTCGCTGGTCTCTCTGGTATCCCTGGCACCCCTGGCATCCTGGCATCCAGAAGCAGACCAATAGTTCTGACAGTCCTACGGGTCCCGCAGGCCCCGCAGGTGGCACACGCCTCACAGGTCGCACGGGTCCCATATGCCTCACGGGTCTCAAGAGTCCCACAGGCAGCACTGGTCGTACAACTCCCAACAGGACTCGCAAGCCCCACAAGTCCCACAGGTTCCACAAGCCCCACGGGTCCTACGGGTCCCAAGTGGTCCACAAGTCCCATAGGTCCCGCATGTCCCACAGGCCGCACAGGTTGCACAGGCATCCTGGTATGTTGCGATGCTGGCCTCCTGGCATCCTGGCCGCCTGGCATCCTGGAATCAAGGCGTTCCTGGGATCTTGCCATGCTGTCATCCGGGCATCCTCGCCTCCTGGCCGCCTGGCACCCTGGCATCCCTTGCATCTCAGTGTTCTGGCACCCTGGCATGCTGGCATCCTAGCATCCTGGTGTCCTAGCATCATCTCCATCGTTAGTCTTCGATTGTCGCGAGCTTGTGCACCAAGGAGATTATCATGCGGGGCCCTACCGTCGGAGTATCTTGTTACCAGCGTAGTTTTAGAGGAGGAGACGGGGAGGACAGCATCACGACACAAGACAGCACCACAGCAGGGACAGGGACGGCCCCACGACACGACCGAGGGCCAGACTTGCTGTAGCGAGAGCCCGGCGAATCGGCGGCCCACGGTGCGCGGATCAAGGCCGCCCTCTGAGCTGCGGCGCAGGGCCTGCCCGCCCAGCTGCCACTCCATGAGCACTCCCGCGCCCGCGCCCGCCACCTTGAAGCCGGGCGCTGCGCGGGGCCCCCCCTCCCCTCCCCTCCCTCCCCCCTCCCCTCCCCCCCTCCCCTCCACAATTACACAATATGAATACTACTCTCCCACTTCCCCTGATGGCGTCCGGAAGATATTCGGCACCCCCCCGCGTACTGTTTTTTAACACACAGGATTCCCCGGAGTTGGGTTTTCGCTTGTGTTTTTTTCTAAAATGCTGCTCTCGCTGAGGCGCTGGCCTAATTTTCGGGCTCCCGCTCCTTCCGAATCGTGTTCCCGCTGCAGCGCTGGCCTCATTTCCGCGCTCCCGCTCGTTCCGAATCGTGCTCCCGCTGCAGCGCTGGCCCAATTTCTGCGCCTCTCGTTGTTCCAAACGTGCTCCCGCTGCAGCGCCGACGTTTTCGATCCTTTTTAAGAAGCCCCAAATCTAGAAAATGATCCCCGGCAAAAACATTGGAGGTGATTACACATCCGGTGCCGATTCGTTGATTTTTGGGGCCGCAGAAAGCCCCCCCTCCTTTTGGGCGGCGTCCTTTTCCGCACAGGATTCCCGGGAGTTTGGTTTTATATATGTTTTTGAAAATCCGAGTCTTTCCGGTCCTTCAGAATGTTGCTCCCGCTGCAGCGTTCGTCCTATTTTCCGCGCCGCTGGTCGTTCCAAATCGTGCTGCCGCTGCAGTGCAACGGTCCCCGGCCCCATGCTATGATATGCTCCGCTCCAGTGGCGTTCTTCGGCTCTTCAGCAATGGTGCTCCCGCTGCAGCGTTGGTCCCATGTCTGCGCCTCTGCTCGTCGTCGTCGTCGCCGCCGTCGTCGTCGTCGTCGTGGTTGTCGTCGTCGTCGTCGTCTTCGTCGTCGTCGTCTTCGTTTCCATCGCGCCGTCGTCCTCCTCCTTTCCCTCTTAGGTAACAGGGTCAGATGCGAAGCCCGATTCGGTGAGAGGACAATGAAGTAGCTCAATGGGAAGGGATGGGAGGGAGGGGTAGGATGTCAGATGTTGACGCGAGCGCACCTAGCTTGTCCCCCCCTCCCCCTCCCCCTCCCTCCCCTCCCCTCCCCTCCCCTCCCCTCCCCTCCCCTCCCCTCCCCTCCCCGCTGGGAGGGGTGTCGGCCCAGGCCCCCAGACATGCTCGCGTCGCGAGAGACATCACGACGGAACGTGTCTGGCCATCTCGGGCCTCTGGGGGGCCCTCGCCTGGCCTCGGGACTGTGTGGAAACGACTCAAAATGAAACAAATGCCCTCTACAGGGCAGTTTCTAATGCATAGGATGTTTAAAATATTAGATTTGAATACATGATTAAGTTATGAACCCATTTATGCATGAGCTCATCGTTGTTTTTTAATACTAAATCCCTGCATGTTTACTACATGATCCGCACGCGGAGCATGTATTAAAAACGGCACTGTATTGAGGATCGGGACTTCTGGGGACCGTGTGTAAAAATCATCCTGGCGACGGAACCAACCATATGCGGTTGTTAATGCCGTATTGTGGCACCGCTGTCGGTGGAGCTCCCTCTGGGGCCACCAACTGTGTGAGAGGTGCGCCAAAATTGCGCGGCACCGCTATGCGGCCAAAATGGGGCACCGCCGCCATGTGGACCATGCCACGGGGTGCTTCGGCTGAGATCCCTATGGGGCCACGAACCGTGCGGAAGGTGCGCCCAGATGGGGCGGCGCCGCCATGTGGACCCTGCCACTGAGGCCTTCGGCTGAGCTCCCATACAGGGCCACGAACTGTGTGAGGGGTGCGACACAATGGGACAACGCCGCCATGTGGACCCTGCCACGGGGGTCTTCTGCTGAGCTCCCGATTGGGGCCACGAACCGTGTGAGGGGTGCGCCAAAATGAGGCGGCATGGTCATGTGGACCCTGCCACTGTGGCCTTCGGTGGAGCTCCCGATTGGGGCCACGAACCGTGTGAGGGGTGCGCCAACATGGGGCGGCGCCGCCATGTGGACCCTGCTACTGGGACCTTCAATGGAACCCCCTATGGGACCACGAACCGTGTGAGGGGTGCGCCAACATGGGGCGGCGCCGCCGTATGGACCTTGCTTCTGGGGCCTTCGGTGGAGCTCCCTATGGGACCACGAAGCGCTGCACTGGGTGCGCCGAAACACAGACATGCGGAGGGCAGAAGCAGGGATGGGTGGAGGAAGGATGAGGAGAAGGAGGAGGAGGAAGGAAGGAGGAAGGAACGCGGGGCGCTATCTCTTCAAAACGAAGACCCAACACCACAGGATGGTTGGGACAAACATTATCGCATGTGTGGGCCTTTGGGGCGAGTCGAGCAAACATAACCAAAGGGAGCACGACGGCGTTTGTTCTTGGCTCTGCGCTTCTGGACGCGCCCGTTTCGGACCTTTGGGGCCCCAAGATCGTGTGGTGATAGACCGCGTGGTGACCTCGAAATCATCAACGACCTCACCGCGCGGTCCGTCACCACACTGTTTTGGGACCCTGGAACCCCAGTCGCCCGAGACGCCCTCGGAGAACGACCCGAGTCCCAAAGCCGTGCGGTGACCCCGAATCCCCACCAACTCACCACGCGGTGTGGTCACCACACCGCTTTGGAGGCCCCCGAAGACCCATCGGGCCAGAAGCCGGTCCCAGAAGCGGGTCCTGGGGAACTGGTCGAGAACTCTGGGGACCCAAGCGGTGTAGCAACAAAACCATGGTGACGGAGGTCGGGGGTCGCGTGTCGGGCGCGCCGAGCGCAAGCGGCTCCGAGCGAGGGCACCGCCACCAGATCAGCCAGCCCTCTCCTCGTCGGCCTGACCTGGGCCGCCTAACTTCGCGCATCGCGTTGCAGAGGATGGCGGGGGGGGGGGTCGATGCCGGCTCGGCTGGGATGGCACGAGTTCATATTTACGATGGACGATGTGGCAGAAGCATATGTACATTGCAATGCGACAAGTGAGGCGGGTAATCCCAGGGGGCGGGTATAATCTAAGAGAGGAGAACTTACGAATGGACCTCGCGCTTGTCAACTCCACTGCTCGCGCAATCAACCCACCCACCCACGCGCAACTTGTTTGCGAAACACATGCGGCGGCGATTGCGATGAGTGTTTGGTGTTGGTTGGTGCATCTCTGCGGCCGCGCTCGCCCGCGCCTGCTGGCGCGCGCAGCGGCCAGCTGGTTTGGCGCGACCGACGCGGCCGCGGCGGCGCCGACCTCTGGGCACTTCCCACGGGCGCGTCAGTGCGAGTCGGCCACTTGGGCGGGCGTGGTATCATGGCAACGTCAACGACGGTAGAAACGATGATGATAGCAGCGACGCTGGTGACAGTGATAGCAGCGGCGACGGCACGGCCAATGATGGCGCCGATGCTGATCACGCCAACGACGATAACGGCGCCCTCGCGTCGGTGATGAAGGTTTCGGAAGGAGTTCGACATGCGCGCGCGGCCGACGCGCGAGAGTGGCCCGCATGGTATTATTTGATGCAGCTCGTGCCCCCCAGCACGCGCCCAAGGGCGTTCGAAATGATGTCTACATGCGGCGCGAAAGGCCCGCTTGGCGGAATTCAAGGAAACTGGTGAGCAACCTATGGCTTCGGTTTCCTTGAGAATTCGCGAGAGCGCGAACGCAGTTATTTGTCAAACTGATGTTGCAAAACCATGTGCTTTTCTAGGTTTGCGGGGCGCTCGATTTTGTTGCAACCCTGACGAATCCCAAGGTTTTTGAAGGATTTCGGCATGCGCGCGCGACGACGCGCGCGTGCACTTCGTCTCACTGTTGCAAAGGGCTCTTGCGGCAGTACGCGCGCAAGGGCGTTCGAACGATTTCGGCATGCGCGCGCGGGGGGCCCATTTGGTAGCGTGTTATGAATATGCTGAACAACATGGGTTTTCATAAGAATTCGCAAGGGCGCGAGCGCAAACTTTGTTTGAACATCTTTGTTGCGTACCCATGTTTTATATCATCATATGTTTCGGAGCACTCGATTTTGGCATCCTTACGAAACCAACTATTTGCAAAGAATTCCGGTATGCGCGCGCGACGTCGCGCGCGTGTGCAATTCGTCTAATTTGTTGCAAGGGGTTCCTGGCAACTTATGTTTCTTGATAAGCGAGTACGCGCGCCTAAATTCTCTGCAGAGGGGGACCGCTACCAGTTTGGCTGGGATGCTATGAGTTCATGTTAAAGGGGGCGATGAGGCATAATCACATGCAAAATGCAATACGGAAAAGGGTGCGGTTCAATCCGGGGGTGTGGGGGTAGATCCTAATGCTCCCTTAGACAGGGGACTCCATTTTGTTCGCAATTACTTGTCAACCACATTGCTCGCGCAACCATCCCGCCCGTCCACCCGCAACTTGACTTGAAAAACCCATGCGGCGGCGATTGCGATGATTGCTTGGCGCTGGCTGGCGCACCGTTGCGGTCGTGCTACCGCGCGCAGGCTCGCGCGCAGAGTGGCCAGCTAGTCTGGCGCGACCAACGCGGCCGTCGTGGCGCTGCCCGCTGGGGACTTCCCAGCTCGTCTCGCAGGCCGCGCTGACGCACGGGACTCTTCAGTGCGAGTCGGTGACTCAGGCAGACGCGGTATCATGGCGACGTCGACAACGGCAGTCACGATGGTGATAGTAGCGATGCTGGTGACGATGATGGCGATGACATTGGCGAGGCCAATGACGGCACCGATGTTGATCGCGCCGATGACGATGATGGCGTCCACGTGTCGGTGCTGAACGTTTTGGGAAGAGTTCGACATGCGCGCGCGGCCGACGAGCGCAAGTGGCCCGCATGGCATTTGATAGCAGTCGTGCCCCCCAACAAGCGCGCAAGGGCGTTCGAATGATTTCGACATGCGCGCGCGAGAGGCCCGCTTGGCCGCATGTGATGAACATGTTGAATAGGCCGATCGTTTTCGCAAGAATTCGCGAGAATGCGCTGGCAGACCTTTTTTGACAAGTCATGTTGCAATCATCATTTTTCGGGAACCTCGATCTTGAAGCCTCTGCGGAACCCAAGATTCTTAAACAATTCCCGCATTCGCCCGCAACGCTGCGCGCGTGTGGACGTTGTCCCACTTGCTGCAAGGGGTTATGTGGAAATTGCGGACTTTTGATGAACGAGTGCGCGCATAGGATTTTTTCAAATGATGAGAGGGGGGGTCGATACCAGTTACGCTGGGATGGTATGAATTCGTATCTAAAATGAACAATGGGGCAGAGTCGTATGTCAATTGTACTATCCCTTGGAGAGCGGATAATCCCGGAGTGGGCGGGGGGTGGGTGGTAGATCCTGCTTTCCTTTTGAAAAAGGAAGATCTATGCGAGGCGGCGACAGGGGGGCGACGGCGACGACGGGCGGCGACGGCACCAACATGGTCACCAGACCTGCAGACAGGCCAACACGACGGGCGGCGACGAGGCAGCGACGGCGGCAACATAGCCGCCAGACCGACAAAACAGGCCCAGACGACGGGCGGCGACGAGGCGGCGACGGGGCGGCGACAGTGGCAACATAGCCGCCAGACTGACAGGAAGGTCCAGTTCCTTAGAACAGAAGTAAGAACCCCTAAGTGCAAGTACTGTGTGTATATATAACCTTGGATACAAGACTGCATTGGCGCTTCGCGCCATGCACCTTGGCCCGTCAAGTTGCGCGCGCAGCCAGAACGAGAAAGAGAGAGAGAGAGAGCAATAGAGAGAGAGAGAGGGATGGAGAGAAATAACAAAACGCAGAAAAAGAGAGAGAGAGAGAGGCAGGGAGGGAGAAATGTGTATGTATATATAGAGAGATAGAGAGAGAAAACAAACAAACAACAAAACAACGATAATACAAACATTAGCAAACTAACACATGTATGTGTATATATATATGCATATACACACAGAGAGAGGGTCACCAACAAACCAGCATACAACCAGTACGACCATCAACGACTATGTATCATGACAGGAGGGCTACGAACGACAATGCTTTGCTGTCCCCGTTTTCGTCCTCGTCGTTCTCGTCATGCCCCTTGCTATTCCTTCTTTTCTCTTCCTTTTTTCTCTTCCTCGTTCTCGCCCTTCCCTATGTATCCTTCCCCGCCCTCCTGATCAATTTTTTGGCGGGGGCTTCTCCGTACGAAGTCCCTAGACGGCCCCTCGTAGGTTTCTTGGGGGCTTTTTGGGGTGCCTCTGGAGGCCTCCTGGAGGCCTTCCAGAAGCCTCCGGGGGCTCCATGTGGCCATCTTGCTGCCGACCGCGATCTCCCTCAGCGACGCGGTCCCGACGATGGGGTGTTTGGGAGGCGTCGTGGGGCCTTCTCGGTCTGTTTTTGACTACCTACCAAACCACCCCAACCCAACCCGAAGACCCGAATCTCGGGTTGGGGGTGGGTGGGAGTTCCACATGTGCTTTTTCGATGTTTCCCCCCCCCCCCCCACACTGGAAATCGAGGGTAAATCTGAGCCTTCGGGTTGGGTTGGGGTGGTTTGGTGGGTGGTGAGTTTTGGGAGGCGCTGGAGCGGCCCCTCCCTCCATCCCGAGCGGCGGCAGTGGCGGCCAGGCCGACCTGCGAACGGAGGCCGGCCCGCTCCACCCCGGAAGGCCGTCCTCGGCCCCCTCGGGAGCTGCTTCGGTGGGAGGCGATCCACGCGCGGGGCGAAGAAGCGTGCACCTGTCGCGCCCCTGCTGGGCCCCCAGGGCCCCAGGGGGGCCCCTCCGGGCCCCTACAAAGTGCACAAAAGGCCCACCCTTCCTTCACCCCCCTCCTCCCCGATTGGGAAAGCGACTGGCTGGGGGGGGGCCACATCGACCTGGAAACCCAGACCCACGACGTCATGGTTTTTTCATGACGTCGACTCCCCGAGGTCTCGACCCATTCCCCGGGACCCGCTTTTCGTCCTGAGTCGTTTTTTGACGGTCCCGAAGGCTGGTAAGGGCCCCCACAGGCCACAAATAATGAAAAACCTCCCGTCGTGATTTTTTCATAACTCGAGGGGGTCTGGGAACTGGCGAGACATCGGCAACAGATCGGCGCTGGGCCCCCGAGACTGCATCCGCACGCTCCTGGGACAGGCGGGGGCCGGCGGGCCCCCGTCGGCGATGCATGTGCGATTGGGGGCCGATGCGTCCCCCCATGCGCCTGTACTTATGTCGGGCGTGCCCCCCTACAGGGGGATTGTCGACGAAAAAAAAAAAAATACCCCCCCAAAAAAAAATCCACAAAGGTCAAACAATACTCCAAAAATAGTTCCCGGACCATTTTTGGATTATTTTTTTGGGGGGAGCTGTTTTTGGGGTATCTCTTATTTTTCGTTGAAAATCCCCCTGTAGGGGGACAGGCCCCCATCGGCGATGAATGTACGATTGGGGGTCGATGCGTCCCCCCTACGCCTATACCCACCGATCGGCGCCCCTGATCCTCATTCATCGCCCCCCCATGACGCAACGCCACGCCCCCTCCCTGGAGCGGCCCCGCCCCCGCGCGGCGCCGCGCCCGCCTCGCAGGCGTCCCCGAGCACCCCCGCGGCGTACAGGAAGCCGCGGGGGGCGCCGGAGCCGCCCGAGCGGGCCGCGCCTGCCGCCGCCGGAAGGGAGGGGGCTGGGGGCGCGGGCATGCTGGCACGCCGACGCCGACGCCGACGCCGACGCCGACGCCGACGACGACGCCGACGACGACGCCGACGACGACGACGACGGCGACGACGACGACGCCGACGACGACGACGGCGACGACGACGGCGACGGCGACGACGACGACGACGACGACGACGATAGCAAAGACGACGACGGCGGCGATACGACGACAGCGACGGCGTCGGCGAGGGGCCGCCCCGCCCGGTCGCGCGCGGGGGCTGGCGCGGGTGCCCAGGGCCCTTCGGGGGGCACGCGCGCCCACGCCCCTCGCGCCCCCTGCCGCGCCGCCCCGCGGGCGGGGGGGGGGCACGCGGCCCGGTTCGTCGCGGCGCCAGAGGGCAGGAAAGAGCGAGAGGGCGGCCGAGGGAAGGGCGAGGCAGAGGAGGGCCAAGGCGGAAAAGGCGGAGGGAGGGCGAGAGGGGAAAGGAAGGGAAAAGGCGGAGAAGGAGCCGGCCGGGGGCCGCCGGGAGCCAGCTGGGGGCACGCTCTCCTGTCTGGTTAGCTGCGGGCGGCAGGGTTCCTGCCGCCCGGGTCGGCAAAAGCGGGATGGGTGCAGAAGGCGGGGAAGGGTCCCCCCGGCGGCCCCCCCGGCTTGGAAGCCGGTGGAGCGCCGCGCGGGCGGGAACCCCTGGCAGTTCCGCTTTGGGCGCTGCGCGGTGGGTAACTCCTTTCCTGCCGCCTGGCTGGATGTGGCAGCGGCTGGCTGTCGGCTGCAGGCTGGCGCGCCCGGCGCTGCCCCACGGCAGGGCGCCACCATGGCGAGACTCCTCTCCTCCTCCTCCTCCTCCTCCTCCTCCTCCCTCCCCCTCCCTCCTCCCTCCTCCCTCCTCCTCCTCCTCCTCTCCTCCTCCTGCTCCTCCTCCTCCTCCTCCTCCTCCTCCTCCTCCTCCTCCTCCTCCTCCTCCTCCTCCTCCTGCTCCCTCCTCCCTCCCTCCCTCCCTCCCTCCCTCCCTCCCTCCCTCCCTCCTGTCCTCCCTCCTGTCCTCCCTCCCGCCCTCCCTCCCCCTTCTTCGGGCGGGCGTCCTGGCATGCCCGTCCACCTCGAGCAGGGCCTGCGCAGCGGGCCCAGCGCGGCGAAGTGCGCACTCGGCGACGCCGGCGCTCGGGCGCCCTCGGGGGGGGGGGGGAGGCTCTGCTCCGCCCTTCTCATCCTCCACCACCTCCACCACAACCTCCCTCGGGGGGGTATCCCTCCTCCGCCTCCTCCTCCTCCTCCTCCTCCTCCTCCTCCTCTCCTCCTCCTACACCTCCTCCTCTTCCTCCTCCTCCTCTTCCTCCTCCTCCTCCTCCTCCTCCTCTTCCTCCTCCTACTCTTCCTAATCTTCCTACTCTTCCTACTCCTCCTACTCCCACTCCTTTACCTCCTCCCCTCCTCCCCAGAGAGGGAGGGACTCCTCCTCCTCCTCCCCTCGCCCTCGTCCTCCTCGTCCTCCTCCCTCATCTGCTCTTCCTTCTAAACAACTCCTCCCTGGCGTCGGTAGGGCGGGACAGGCGTTTCGCCTGAGACCTCCTCGCCGTTTGTGCTCCTGGAGCTTGGAAGTCGCAATAGCTTCAAGGATAGAGGCCAGGTCGTTTTCCAAATGCGGCGCTCGTCTCAATGCCGCACGCATTCGTCTTACAAGCTCGCAAAACATTCAAAGATGGAGGGAGGATCGTTTTCAAAATGAAGCTCTCGCCTTGGCGCCACCCGCATTCGGGCTAAACGTGTGCAACAAGTTCAAATATGAAGGGCGGGTAGTTTTCAAAATGCGGCTCTCGCTTGAGCGTCGCGCACATTCGTCTTCAAAGTTTGTGACAACTTCAAGGAAGGATAGGTTCTCCCTTTTCAAGACGTGGTCCGCGCCTCAGCGCCGCGCGCAACCTTCTTCGAAAGCTACAGAAGCTTCAAGGATCCGTAAAGGTTGACATCCAGGAATGCGTTCAGGACGCAACAGTCACAGTGACTCGTGGTATTGAAAGCCCCTGGCTGGTGTGCTGCCACGGCGCTGACGTCACATAACTTGCGTTTGGCATGATAACGGACACTCAATCGGTTGTCTTTCCATGGGAGGGTTGCAACATCTTTGATGCGTCTTGGACTTGAACTGGTCCTCCTCCTCCTCCTCCTCCTCCTCCTCCTCGTTCCTGGTTCCTGATAGCTGCAGGATCCTGGCTCCTCCTCCTCCTCCTCCTCCTCCTCCAATTCCTCCTCCTACTCCTCCTCGTCCTCCTCTCCGTCCTCCTCCTCCTCGTCCTGTTCCTCCTCCTCCTCCTCCTCCTACTCCTCCTCGGTCGTCCTCATCCTAATCGTCATCCTCCTCTTCGTCGTCGTCGTCTTTCTCCTCGTCCCGGCCTCAAGGGTGGGAGGGGGAGGGGTGCGGCGGGAGTCGTGCCGAAACCGCGGCCAGGACGTGCCCTGGGAGAGGTCCAGGGGTGGAGGAGGAGGAGACACACTAAGAATAACAAGGGGACAATAACAAATTTATGAGAATACGAATCAGAAGAATAACAAACACGAATATACGATTAATGGCAAATTCAATTAAGTAGCAATCGTAAATAAAAATATCGAAAAGAGCAACAACGCCAATACTAACACGATTGATGATAACCAGGATACCAATACAAGTAAACATATGAGTACTAAATAGCAACAATAGTCACAACACTAATACGGATACGAATAATAAGAATTATCCGAATCAGAAGAATATTAAGACTACCACATCGAATACGACGGTGTGGCACGACAGAACGAGAAGACGACAACGAATCACAGCACCACAAGAACACGAAGAAGGCCACAACGAACGAGACGGCCCAAAGAAATGACGAGAAGACGAACGAGCGCAGAAGAAGAAGAAGGCGACGACGACCACACCAGAGGCAGGAGACATCAGCGCTGACGGCGCGGGGGAGACCCCGGCACCCGATGCAGCGGAAAACAGGGCGGAGCCGCGGGGCAGAAAAACGAAGAAGAAGGCGAAGAAGGCGAAGAAGAAGAAGAAGGAGAAGAAAAATAAGGAGAAGAAGAAGGAGAAGAAGAAGGCGAAGAAGAAGAACGAGAAGATGGTGTTCAGGACGCAACAGTCACAGTGATTCGTGGTATTGAAAGCCCCTGGCTGGTGTGCTGCCACGATTTTCGCAGCGCTGACGTCCCAGAACTTGTTTTTGAAGGAGGAGGAGACGACGACCACACCAGAGGCAGGAGACTTCAGCGATGACTGCGCGGGGGAGAACCCCGGGCGGCGCCGCGGGGCAAAAACACAACGGCGGGGGGGCCCTGCGCGGGCCTCTCGTCGTGCTGCGGGAGCCCCCGCCACCGACGCCCCTCAGGGATATCTGCGCGCGTGCCCCCCCCCCCATTGCCGAGAGAGAGGGTACCGCTGCCCGTATATGCCGGCGCAGCGCCCTTCCGCGTCGCCCGCCTCCCTCCCGCGTCGTCGTCGCCTTCCTCGCCCTCTTCCTCCTCCTCCTCCTCGCCCTCCTCCTCCTCCTGCCCCTCCTCCTCCTCCTCCTCCTCCTCCTCCTCCTCCTCCTCCTCCTCCTACCCCTCCTCCTCCTCCTCCTCCTCCTCCTCCTCCTCCTCCTCCTCTTCCCCGGCATCGCCAGCACCATCAGCCCCATCATCAGCAGCATCCTCGCCACCATGCTCGCCCTCGGCAGCATCTCTATCATCAGCATCACGAGAAGCCTCATCGCGCCACCATGGCGTCAGACCTCGCCCTCCTCGTCTTCCCCTCCTCCTCATCATCATCATCAGCATCATCATCATCATCATCATCATCATCATCATCATCATCATCATCATCATCATCATCATCATCATCATCATCATCATCAGCAGCAGCAGCAGCAGCATCGTCATCACCATCGTCGTCGTCATCACCAACATCAACATCAGCATCATCACCATCAACATTATCAGCATGGCCATCAACATCATGAGCATCAACATCATAACATTCTTCTTCATCATCATAATGCGCATCATCGCTATCAGCATCGTCGTCATCGTCAGCAGCACCAGCATCACCACCGTCATCATCATCATCAACATCATCATCATCACCATCATCATCAACAACAGCAACAACAACATTATTACTACCACTACAATCGTCATCATGATCATCATCCGGATCATCATGAGCATGAACAGGATCGTGGTTGTGATCGTCATCAACATCAATATCATCATCGCCATCGTCATCAACATCATCATCGTCATCGGAATCGTCACCATCGTCACCGACAACATCATCGTCGTCATCATCATCCTGATCACCATCACCATCACCACCACACTCATCAACATCAACATCACCATCTTCCTCCTCCCCGTCATCATAAACGCCAACATCATTAACAACAACAACGTCAACATCATCATCCATCCGTTATTGCTCTTCCTTCCTCCGTTCTGACCTCCTTGTTCACATCCTCGTCCTCCTGGTATCTCCATGTTCAGCCAGCTTCTCGTCCGCCTCCTCAGTGTCATCCTCGGCCTACTCCTCTTCCTTCCTTCCTCTTTCTCCTCCATCATCATCCGTTCTGCCTCCCCCATTACATCATCTCTCCTGACCTCCTCCTCGTTCTCCTGTTCCTCCAGCTCCTCTTCCTCCTTCTCCTCCTCACCCCCTCCCTCCCTCCTCCTCATCATCCTTCTCTTCATCCTCCTCTTCCCTCTCCTCCTCCGCCTCATGCTGAGAGAGAGAGTGAGGGAGGCTCTCCCCTGCCGCGCTGCGGGGGTGCTGACGCCTGGGAGGGCCGCCTGAGAGGGCCGCTGCTGGCAGGGGCGCCCATGCATCTGAGGAAGTCCTGGGGCGCAGGGGGGCGAAGTGGAGTCTTATCTTCTCTCATCCTTCTCCTCCTCCTCGGCCTCCTCCTCTTCTTCCTCTGCCTCCGCCTCCTCCTCCTCCTCCTCCTCCTCCCCCTTCTCCTCCCCCTCCTCCTTTTCCTTCTAAGTAACTGCCTCCTGTCGCACCCCGAGGCCAGGCGGATGGACGAGCCAGGCGCTTCGCCTAAGAATTCCTTACAAGTTATGATCCCGACGCCAGATATTCGCAACAACTTCACGAATTGAAAGCACATCGTTTTCAACATGTGCAAGAGGTTCACGGATTGAGGGCGGGTCGGTTTCAAAATGTGGCCCTCGCCTTAGCGCCGCGCACATTCGTCTTAAACGTTTGCAATAGCTTCACGGATTGACAGCAGGTCGTTTTCAAAATGTGGCTCTCGCCTTAACGCAGCGCGCATTCGTTGTAAACAGTTGCCAGAGTTCCACGGGTTCTCATGGTTAGCGCACCAGCAATGGTGTTTTGGAGCGATTCAGGACTGTCAGGGCGCAGCAATTGCGTTGTTTCGCGGTGCTGCAGATGGAATCCCAGGAATAGCGTTCTGGCACGGTTCCGGATCGTCAAGACTCAACAGACAAGTTGATTCGTTGATTCGTGGTGTTGGAGTCCCGAGATTTTCCGCCGCCCAACGGGGCACTTCTTCCAGTGGGAATGAACCCCTGCAGGGGCCTAAGAAGAGGGAGCTTGAAGGGAGGGTTGATTCCAACATAGTTGATGAGTCTTGGGTTTACACTGGTCCTTCTCCTCGTCCTCCTATCTCCTTGCTGCTAACTCCTACCTCCTGTCTTCTCCCCCTGCTCCTGAAGAGGAGCTGCCCTCGGCCCAGGACCTCGGCAGACGTGCGGCCCAGGAAGCGGCCGGGTCTGACGCCGAGGACTATCTCCAGGCCTCCGACAGCGAGGAGGCGCGACCTCGCTGACTGGCTTTGGGCCGCCGCCATACCATGCCTCCTCCTCCTGCCGCTGGGCCGGCGAACGCCCGGGACCCCCCCGCGGCGCAGCCAGCGGGCGCAGCCCGAACAGACGGCCTGCCATGTGGGCAGGCTTGCGTCAGCTCAGGGGTTGGCCGCCCACGGGCATGCGTTGCTGCTCGTCGCAGCCGACCGCCCACCGCCGCCGCTCGCCAGAGGAAACGAAGGAAGCGGAGGGGGAGGAGGAGGAGGAGGAGGAGGAGGAGGAGGAGGAGGAGGAGGAGGAGGAGCAGGAGCAGGAGCAGGAAAGGGAGGAAGAGGAAGGGGAGGAGGACGAGGAGGGGGAGGAGATGGAGAAGAAGTAGGAGGAGGTGGCTCAGCGAGAAAGCAGAACGCAGACTGGGGGCGGGCCAGCACGCTGTGCTCACTCCCCTGCTGCTCCTGCCTCGGGCCGGCACCCTTCTGCAGGCGGGGGAAGGCGGAAGAAGCCCGATGCGGACGCGCAGCGCGGGAGCCAGCGCCCATCTAACGGGGACTCCACGAACGGCTACTTTGCCCAGTGACCCAGCGAGCCCAACCCTTCCCGAACGTGGGCAACGCTGCATTGCCAGAAGGAGGCCCGAACGTGGCAACTTCGGGCAAAATTGCAAGGCACCCGTCAGCAAGTACCCGTTACGGTGCCGTTGAGGGAGGGGGCCCGAGCGGAGAAGGCCGACCAGACTGCCCAACGACACGGTGTCTACGCCGAGCCCTTCCGGCAGACGCGGCGGGGGCACGGCGAGAGGCAGCATCGGCGCACGCGCGCTCCCCCCGAGTACGCGGCGGCCCGATGGGGCCGCCTCTCGCGAGCGGCGCGCGTGGGCAGAGCCCTGCTGCGCCGCCCCGACCGCGGAGGGGAGGACCAGTACCGCTCGAGCGCCAAAGGATCAGGTGCGCCGAAGGAGCGTATGTGTGCGTGCGTGCGTGCGTGCGTGCGTGCGTGCGTGCGTGCGTGTGCGTGTGTGTGTGTGCGTGTGTGTGTGTGTGTGTGTGCGTCTGTGTCCGTGTCCGTGTCCGTGTCTGTGTCTGTCTGTGTCTGTGTGTGTATGTTGTCCCGCCCATTGCTGAAGAGATTGCGACACTGTAAGATGTTATTGTATTATTACATGTCAGAGTGACGCTTCCTTTTCAACCATCTGCTCCCAAGTCTGTCGCGCAGGCCGGCGCTCAAACCGTTGCTTCATGTATGACCGCAGCGGTGCACACGAGTGGGTGCAGACTCTGGGAGTACATGTAAGGGCAACGCGGCGCATTGCAAAACGCTCATCTGCAAGCAATGTGTCAGCAGTGATCTACATAGCAAATATGATTCGTGTCATCACCCCGGCTGTGCAGCGGGATGCCACTGAACGTGCCCCATCCAAATCTATCCGTATCATGTTTCGGAGACCGTATGCGATATTTCTTTCCCGCGGGGGTGGTTTTGGACTTGCAGCTCGCTCGAAGACGAGCCCACAGTACAAGAATGGCCATTGGTATCGATTGCAACTTCACCACCTTGATTCATATACACTGCTTGTTAACCATATTGGAAGCGCAGCTAGTGAAAGACAAAGTCCAGAATGACATCTTCAGAGCTTTTCACTTGCTCTTCTCGGAATGCGACTCGTAGATGTTCCCATCGAGCGTGCAACAACGTAGAAGCAATTATGATATCGAGTTGTTGTGGGGTGCTTTGTCAAATTGTGTTGCGGCGCTATGGTTACGCAAGGCCTTGAGATGTACACAGGCTCGTTCAGTGTTGCAGCTTATGTCGGTGCCTTAAAGACAACTATCATGTACTCGCCATGCTCTTCGTCAGGCAGGCGGCCCTGCAATGATTATGGTGGTAGCCCGATCCTTCTGCCAACTTCTGTGTGTCGGCCTCAGTCGAGCCGGGGCCAGAGATCCCAGTGGCGCTCTTGTGTACACGTAGGCTGGGACTGGTTTCTTGCATTTTGGATTCACCACCCGTTGTAGACAGAACCGCAAGCAGATCAGACACGGAGGAGCTGCCTATCGATGGTTAGAGCACGCGTGTTGCAGACACCGTACAGGCTTGCCGGAGTCTTCATTGTGGAGGTATCCATTGTCAAGACGATTTCCTACAACGGCTCTTGGTTCCTTGCCTGTGCGCATTGGCACGGAGAGTGTCATCAAGGCGTCCGAGACTGTGGCTGTGGCTATTCGCACCCTCCAGCCAGTGGCGAATGTTATTCCTTCCCGTACGTCATGCCATCGGCCCTTACGATGCCGCGACGCCGTCCTCTACCTTCTCGTCGCGCACGTACGCCTCCTTGCTATATGCATGGTATATTTGAGCTGAGCCTCCCACCTGCCCGTGATCAAATATGGCCACGTCTTGAGCACACGGACCCAGCACGTGATGCTGGAGATCGTGATGCGAACATCCCGCCAGCCACAGACCCTACAGCTTCTGCCGTCCGTGATGCTTGGTGGTGGAACCATCCTTTCAATGATGTGTACCACTCATTTCAGTGATTGCGCGCAGTACCGTTTGGCCCAATCAATTTATGTGATGAGCGCATGTGGCAATTATTTGTTGTGTATTTGAGCAGCCTTGGTGCAGTCATTGATTGAAATAAAGCTGAGAGTCACTGGAAGACCTCGTGCGCAGCAGCATTGACAGCAACATTCGTGAAGTATGTGGTTGGCCCTGTGAGGCGACAGCGAGCCGTTCAACGAGTTGATTGCCGACTTCAGCACTTGCGTTTGCCACAGACCCGATGTGTGACAGTAGCACTACCTTTTAGCTGCCAAATCCCTCAGGTCCGACATTGCTTTCGTGAAGCCTTGCATCTTTCCGAACTGCCAGATGTGATGAAACGCTGGGTTGTTGCTCAAGTTCGCTTCATTGTCGACGCGCAGCCAACCCATAGCATCTTCATGAACCGCTCGCAGGCTTCACGCAATCCGGAGGGAACTGGGCAGTGCCTTCTAGCAGAGTCGCTTGGCCGCAGGTGGATGCATATGGTTCCCGGCAGGTGGGACATTCCTCTTCGACCACCCATCGAGCAAGTAGCGGAGAATTCAAGATCGGCAACACTCAACCTTGACTTCAGATGGTGCGGCGAGGTTTCGGGACTGCATGCAGCGAGAGCGTGGCGAAACAAACGATTCATGCCCAGTAGTGCCTTCAGGAAGCAGTGGTGCGACTGGGCAGGCTCCCGGGACGAATCTGAATCATAGACTGTCCACATGCAACCCGGAGCAGGTTTCACAGTGTCCAGATGATGAACCAAATCATGTGGCCTGGAAGGTCCCCAACGTGAGGTTTTTCTTCGATCTCTGCGTCTACGTTTTCAACAGCCCGCATTGGAAGCTTATCGATTGGAGCTGGGAGAAGACCAGCAGCCACATCCATGAAGTATTGAAGCAGTACGTCCCAGAGAGGTTGCACGGATTTCTCAACATTAGTGACAGTAGCGTTTGGTGACTCCCCCACACGTGCAAAATTACACCTGAGAAAACCCCAATCAGTGGATGATTTAAAAATTGATACTATGGATCTTGAGATCGATGGTGAGATCGATAATGAGATCGATAGTGGAATCGATAGTGAGGACGATTGTAAGGTCGATCGTGAGACCGAGAGTAAATCGATTCAATGAGATCGATAGTGAGATCGATCGCGAGATCGCTCATGCGATCTCTAGTGAGATCGCTTGTGAGATTGATAGTGAGATCGACTGTGAGATCGATGGTAAGATCGATCGAGAAATCGGTAATGAATGAGATCGATGGTGAGACCGATCGATAAGAAGATCGACCAAGAACCCGGGAACCCAAGAACGTCGCCGCCCTCCGAAATCGGCACGGAACCCGGAACCGGGAACCCAAGAACCCGGAACCGGGAACCCGGGAACCCGGGAACCCAGCCTGTCACCAAAATCGGCGGGGAACTTTCGCCAAATCCTTCAACATCCGCTAGGACCTCTTCAGTGCAAGCACTGATTGGGGAATGAAAACCACATGCTTTTCACCAGGCTTCCCTTCAACACTGACGTGTCCGA